TCTAAGAATTACATCCTGCCGTTCCCCAAATCAACTATAATCCCCATCATTTCCATCCACTTACAAGAACAAGAATCGCTTGTGGTCCCTCATCTTCCTTCCTGCATGGAGCAAGGAGCCAGGAGCCAAGCCCCAAACCGCACATGCAAGCACCCACAGCCTCTGCGTGTGATGGTGTTACAGCCCCACGTCACACCTCACGTCCCCAGGACCACTGGGGCTCCCATGATTTCTTGCAAGCAGCCAGTAATGACTGCAGCCAGCCCTGCCACCCAGGAGGGCACCGCTGCCAACGCCGCTCACCCCCAACCACCTCACGGCCTTAGGGGAGCTCTGGGTGATATTTTGGCTGAGGGAGGAAGCACTCTTGGGCCTTGCACATAGGAAAGTGCAGATACTTGGGAACAGCAAATGGAAAATAACCCGCTGAAAAATGGGAGAGGAAAAAGAAAAAAAAAAAAATCACAAATCATCAAGAAACAAGACAGTTTTGCACACTGGATGTGGCCCTGTAAGGCACGTTATCTGCTACAACAGCAAAAATATCTGGCAAAAAAAGAGTTTACTGATTCCCTAATTACAGACAGCAGGGGCTGAACTGCAGCAGGAAGCAGAGACCAGACATGACAGCAGGCGTTACAGGAATAGCCCATCTGAAGAGCACTACATCCTCTTCAAGAGATCCAGTTTTATAGCATTTCATTGAAAATAAATTACATTCCCAGCAAACACATGAAGGCCCTTCAGTTTGGCAGAATCCAGACTGATTTACTAGGGCTGTCTAGGTTAATTCACTTGAGGGCAAGCACAAAACCAACACTGTCCCACAGGTTATTTAATGCAACCTGCTTTTAAACATGAATAGCACAACACGGAATTAATCACTCTCAGATATCATACTCCCCTCTCTGTTATTCTGGCAACATCTTGGTATGAACATGACCAGTTTGAAATGCTGTAGAAGACGCACGCCCCATCCTGCTCCTGACCCATGCGTACCCCCCCATCCACGGTCTCTCAAGCACTGTCCAGCCTTGACGTGCATCCCATGCCCAGAAGAGAATGCTCCTGCACCCAGCGAATGGGTAGGAATCATCTGACAAGATGGGAGGAGATCAGGAACCAGGCTTGCGGCACACATGCTGTTGATAGCCTGCTTCTGCACATCCAGCCCGTATCACAACTTCTCTCCATGTTCCCATGCTTGTTCTCCTCTAATCCCTCCCTTTCTCTAACCCTCGTCTCCTCCCAAAATAACCCTCCTCTAATTACTTTTTTCCTGTTGGGGCCAGTCTTGCTACACCTGTAGCCAAATCTGGAGTTTCTGATACCTCTCACTGGATCACCTCTACCTCGCCAGGTTCCACGCCCCAGGTGGTCCCTGTGCTCCTCCTCAATCACCTGTGAAGCTCAGCCACCTCCCCGGGTGCTCTCTGTAGTGCTCCAGCAGCTGCCTGCTGCATCCAGCCAACTCTCATGTCACATCTGCTCCTTTCTCCTGATCAGTCCAGTGACCCAAACTGCAGGCTGGGGCCTGACCACCTGCCTGCGGACCCTAACAGCAAATTCCTACATTTCATAGACATAAGCAGATTGTGTGATCATTATGAAATAATTAGTTTTAAAATTACCTAAGAGCTTCATTGTTATTTAGGCAGTTCAGTCCTTAAAGAACATCTCTGAAAGCACAGAAGTATTAGTAAATGGATTCCCTTTACATACATTCATGAGTACCTTTTTTCTTAAGGAAAAAAACTAGCCCTCAATTATTTATGAACTAAAAAAAGCAAAAGTTACTAATCTCTTGCAGTCATGATTCCCAGAAATGCCACATCAATCAACTGATTTTTAGAAGATAAACCGTAAAAATCAAGTCCCTTGGAAGGGTTTCTCCACAGCCAGGAATGTGAGTTTTGGAAGTGGCAGCAGAAACCACACAAGAGGAAGCTCTCCACCAAGACAAACAGCAACAAACACCCCAGACCTTACAGGAGGCTGCAGGCACGGCTCGAAGAGCTGCATAAGATTTTCCACGGATGCTTCCTCAGTAAAACATCACCTGATTAGAGCAAATGTCAAGGCTGCCAAGTGTTACACAGGCTAGCTGTCTTGTACTCCGACTTGGTGCAAGAAGTGTACACATCTGGTTATGCCTGCTTCCTGCTAAAAGGTGCTTGGTGCTTCTCCAGGCTGGATCACACCACACCAGTGCTCATCTCACCCTCAAAGGTCAGCTCATACTGGAGCAACCACAGCTCTGAGTGCAGGCTATGTATGGTAAAAATTGCTCTTCATTTTTTAGGCTAATTATAAAAATTAGCCAAAAGTTTCAAAGAATGGGAGGGAAAAAACCAAACAAAAGCCCCAGTGTGGCTGTCAGAAGTACCGCTTCTGTTCTTCAGAATGACATTGTCACCCATACTGGTGGACAAGGCAGGATTGCCCCTAGCCCCTGTGTTGTCATCACCATCATCAGTCTTTGGAGTCAGGCATATAGCAGCTGTAAAAACAAATTTGAAAAAGCTGAAATTAAGACAAAGCAAAAAGCCCCAGATGCTGATTACAAAGAAGCAATCAACATGCAAACCAGTAATCTTCAGAGCCCTTCTGAGGAAGGTGTTGGTGTGAGCCTTTCTCAAGAACACCAGAAGCTGGAAGTCAAAATATAAATCCCCCACTGAGTAAGGGTTTGAGAAAAAGCCAGCTGCAAACCCCACAAAAGCAGGCAATCAGAGCTACAAAATGGAGGGGCTGGATGAACAAGGAAACAAACTTTAGGGCAGCCATCTCCTTCCCCTAATAAGCCCACGAGGAAACAAACCCAGTTCTCGAATACAGCCCCGGTGAAGACAAGCAGCATCCCATCCCTTCTGAGCAAAGCTGGCTGACAAGGAGCAAGGCCACTGTATGCCAGAAGCAAGCCCATGTGGGGCCTGAAAGACCATCCGAGACATAAAAAAAGACAACAGACAAAATTTCACTTAACGTGAATAAATATAAAAAGGCTTAGGTACATTTTAGGAAAGAATAAGATTTAAGCTACTTCCTTCTTGTTAGCAGAACTAAATGTAAAGATCATTTTGCGAAGAAGGCAGAGCACAACTGATATGTGTCAGGAACCTGATGTTCAGTTTTGCGCTGGATAACAATCATCCAGTAGATTTATAACAGGACTGAAAGCGCCTTCCCCGTGCCCTGCACAGCAGCGGCTGCCTGACATCCCATAGCGGCCAGCGCTGGGGTGACATCACATAGCAACCAGCGCTGGGTGGCCCACCCGCCCGCCATACCGGCACCCCAGGCAGCCACCATGGTGTGTGGGCATGCCACCTGCCACCCTGCATGATGCAGAGCGGCACCACCTCGTGCAGGTCCCCCCAGCTCTCCCACCATGGATGATGCTGCAGTGCTTGAAAAGAAAGGCTATAGCCTAGGCAACACTCTAGGAGCAGGGTCTTACGGAAAAGTGAAATCTGCCTACTGCAACTCACTGAAATGCAATGTGGCCGTCAAGATAATCAACAAGAGGAAAACTCCTCAGGACTTCCTGGAAAGATTTCTCCCCAGGGAAATAGAGGCTTTGAGACATTTGCAGCACCCCTCAATCATCAAAACCTATGACATTTTTGAGACAGCGGCTGGGAAAGTGTACATTGTGATGGAGCTGGCGGAGAATGGAGACCTCCTGGACTACATCACGAACACGGGAGCTATGAAAGAGGACATCGCTCGCACCATGTTTCAACAGTTAGCTTCTGCCATCAAGCATTGCCATGACTTGGACTTTGCTCACAGGGACCTGAAATGTGAGAACATCCTTCTCGATAAAGACCTCAACATCAAGCTGTCAGACTTTGGCTTTTCCAAATCCTTGTCTCGGGATGAAAACGGAAGAATTATTCTCAGCAAAACCTTCTGCGGGTCTGCTGCATATGCAGCCCCTGAAGTGCTACAGGGTATTCCTTGCGACCCCAGGATTTCTGACATATGGAGTCTAGGTGTCATCCTCTATACAATGGTCTACGCTTTAATGCCATTCGATGATTCCAATGTCAGGAAAATGATCTGTAATCAGAAACAACATAGGATTTCCTTCCCCAAATCAAAATGTCTGACTGTAGAGTGCAAGGACCTCATTTGCCATTTGCTCCAGCCCAATACGTCTCAGAGGTTGTGCATAGATGAAGTTTTGAAACACTCATGGCTGCAGACTCCAAAATCCACAACTGCTTCCCCTCTGCCAGCTGCAGAAGAGGGCGAGTGTTCCCAAAATCTGCAAGAAGGACAGCCTGAGCACAAGCAGCACGCTTCTGCAGAAAGGGAAA